CGGGCAGGACTGGCCTAGGGGTATTTTAAATTGGTTTTAACTAAATTTTAGTAGAAGCGGCCTATTTAAATATTTATTTTTAATTATTCTCTTAAATTTTGTATTTTGTATTTGTATCAAACTGTTTTTAAACTGGCTGTAAGCCGCCCTGAGTCCTCCGGGAGAAGGGCGGGGTATAAATATAATAAATCAAATCAATTAAATCAAATCATTTTGGATAAGGAAAAATGGAAGAGGTTCACAAGACTGTTTTTTTTTTTAACTGAAAGCATTGTCCATTAAGATCAAGAAACAATTATTTTTCCTTCAGGTTAGAGAATAGCTCTTTCTTTTCCATATCCTTCAGATATAGAAATATTGTTGAGATTACCTACAATTCAAGTCTTTTTGGGGTGCAGGGAGTGCTCATTTTGAATTACCTGAAAATTATTGATCTGCTTTAGATATATTGTCTAGATATAATATAAATTGCCATATATTCATCATTATGTGCAATGGATATAGAAAGTCTACACATCCCTGTTTATATGCCAGATTTTTGAGATGTAAAAAAATCAGACTAAGATCAATCACTTTAATATAACATAAGTTGTACAATTTAATTGAAAAATAAACTGGAATTTTTAGGGGGAAAAATAGCTATCAGACCGTCCAATAACATGCTTACAAAATACTTATTTTCTTTTATTCTTTTTTTAAACAGCCTTTCCCAGTATAGTGATGAAAATATGATGGATCCTTATAACCTGGCCATTTGTTTTGGCCCAACATTGATGCCCATTCCAGATATACAAGAACAAGTATCATGCCAGGCTCATGTTAATGAAATCATCAAAACCATTATCATTCACCAGGAGATCATTTTCCCAGATAGCAAGGAACTAGATGGCCCAGTATATGAAAAATGTATGGCAGGTGATGACTACTGGTAAGTCCTTCAGTCTTTTACCCAAACAAATTTGTCACATTATTCTGTGAGCAGCTTTGAGTTTGTAATCTTGCTCCCATCTACTACAAAAAAAAAACAACACCTGATTTGCCATCCAATCTAGGTAAATGATATGTAGGAATTTGTCAATAGTGCAACCAGTTCTTTATAATATGATGTAAGAGCTGAAGTTGGAGGAGCAGGAGTCACTCATGACAGAGAAAAAAGCATTTTGTAAACAAGGATAGATGACAGAAACATTCAAGGCTGGAAAACATGCAGCAGCTATACAGCCAGTGGCTCAAAAATGCAGCAGCAGTGAGAGGCCTAGAATTTAAATCCTGGAACTAACATATATAAACAGCTGAATTCTGGAGTGGTGTAAGAGAACTTATTCATCTGTATGGTTTCCTAACTCTCTGCAGTAATTCTGTTTTTCTAACCTTTTTTTGCTGGCATGGGAGAGAAAGTTTAATCACTGAACCTCATAGGAAGCCTTGCCACATAGTCTCTTTTATATTGGAAAAAAGGTACATGAGATATGATCATTTCTTAGACCAGAGAGACCCACATTTAGTTGAAGACCATCCATAAAATGGCTGTTATTTTTTTCAGAGTCAAATAATAGCCAAGAAGATAAAAAAGTGGATTTAAAATCACATTGACCCAGGATTGTGCTGTGGATCAGGAGGAAATTTTAGATGGGTCTGGCTTAGTAGGCTTGGCCTAACTAACTTTAAGAAGCAGTCAATACCTTTCTTCTTTGATATCTTGATGGTCAAATTGATTCTTTTGTCTGGTGGTTTCCCATCAATGAGTGTTTGAAATCAAGATGCAAGCTATGATTATTTAGACCAAATTAGATGTTATATACAGATATTTGAAAATACTCTATCCAGGACACTAATATTATGACCAACTTGACAATTTGGTGACTGATTCAATTGTATAATTTATAGGGAGACATACAGAAGATGTAACACCACATAGTAAATTAATCTTAGCCTAGATTCCTGGCTAACTTGTTTGCCTATTAGTTAAGAACTTGAATTCTCTTGAAACTCTCACTATCTCAATTACCTTGATGTGCTCCAAATTCCTAATATATTCATATTCTGTCAGAGATCTGTGTGAAGCCATTTAGATTACCTTTCCATCTTGAATCACAGCTTATGCAACTCTGCCTTATTTTAAAAAGCCTCAAAAGTTTCTTTCTCATCCTTCAGAGGGAGTTGCTGGGATTATCTCTTTATGTGTACATTATAAAGTGCATTTCTTTCCCATAAAAAAAATGAGATTCTGTTTGGATTAAGGATGTGTATTCTGTACTTAGCATGGTGTGTGTATATGTAGAGAGCTGGCAAACTGCTTAACCAATCTTATATTTACAAAATAATACATTAATATGACCAGTTTATTGAAATTTTAAATGATAGTTCTATCCAACCATCAAATAAATTCATGTGCTCCTTTCTCTACAGTGACAGCCCTTATAGTGAACATGGTACCTTAGAAGAAGTGGATCTGGATGCTGGGGCAGAAGTACATACCAGTGACGATGGTATGCTCTTTTATGCTTTTTCCCATGACATTGTGTCTCTTTTTAATTCCATGTTTATGCCATTCACAGAAGGAAAGTTTTTTCATTGTCTACAATATTATATGAATTTGTTTTGCACAATATTCTTACCTGTTTCTTTGATTTTTTTTTCTAATCAACACAATCAGAGTAGAAATAAGTACTGCAGCAAAAATAATTTTCTACTGCCAGTATAAATGGCATAGTAGATTTAGGTATTTTCAGTTATGCATTAATACGTTCATGGACAAGATGCCAGATCCCTGGACACCATCTTCCTTATGAAGATCAGCCTAAAATCAGGTCCACTTGTGCATCGGACTTAGTATGGGCTTGTCCTGTTAAACTATGAAAATAGTAACCAGTGACCAATGGTGATCAGAGCATTCTGATTCTTTGAATTATCTCTCTGAAATTTGTAGATGAAAAAGCTGGCACTATTCTTGCCAACAGTAAGGATTTAAAAAGGATGTTGTGACATATACAAAATAGGAACCAAAATTATTGGTGGCTGCATCAGCATTGGAATAGTGCTAGATCAGGCCATGACCCATCTGGTCCACCGTTCTATTTCTCACAGTGGTCTCCAGATGCCATTTTTTGTTCACAAGCAATAGATGGAGACATAGGTCCCTCAAAACCTATACTATGTGGTACCATGCTTCCTCTCATTCACAGATAACATTGATTTTTGAAAGACATATGTGTATATGTGTGTGTGTATATACACACACACATACACACATACATGTATATACATCATACATACATCATACATACATATATATACATACATACATACATACATACATATATATATAAATCTTTTTCCATCATTTCCCTTTTCAGTGATCTTTAGCTTTTTCTCAGCTATCACAGAATGAGTTGAAATTTTTAGTAGATCACCCTGTTTACTGGTTAGTTAGAGATTGTTCAGACCCGATTGAAGTTAGGATTTTTTTCCCCTTCCATCTGCATCACTACATGCCTACTTACCAGTCACATTTGTCCTTTGCTTGACATTTACCTGTTTTATAGAGATCTTTCTGGAGCGCTACACAATCCCCTTTTGATTTTATCACAGTAATCACGCTTTGTCGTTTCATTGCTCACTTTTAAGTGAATGTTTTAAGTTTTAAAAACACTGATTCCCACCCCGATTTAATTTATTCTCCAATCATGATGACCGTAGCATCCACCAATGGGTTATCATAGCCTTCCTGCTCAGTTGAGACTAAGCCAGAACTTCAGCCACGCTTCCTCTGGGCGGTTCCTCCCCAGTTCTTGCTTAGTCTCAGCTCAGTGACACGCAAGTATTTTGGCTCCTCAGCTAGGCTTTTGATTTAATTCAATTGAGTAATTATTTGTAGTTTAATTGGTTTTTTTGATTCTAAATTGTTTAGTATATTAATTGGCTTCTAAATTCGTCAAATTGCAGTAGGTCAGGAGCAAATTTGGTACTTGAGCTCCTGTGCTTTTGCAGGCCCGTAGGTCTGCAGAAGCCTTGCAGGCTGTATTGCAGCCTGCAAGAGTGTTTAGCCTCCGATCAGCTGTTTGGCGCTGAAATGGAGGCTCGAATTTATCGGAGGTTCCCGGGAGCGCGATTCTGCTGGTGGCCTCGTTTCCCCAACCTCGTGGCCACAAGGTAGCTGTTGGTGAGGACAATCCGGATCGCAGCGGAGGCTGCGCGCCCAAAACGCAAGTGCCTAATTGTTGCAGAAGGGGAGAAAGGGCCTTTTTCGGCCAAATCCCTTCTCAAACCTGTGCAGTCCGGTGGGATTGCCTTAGTTGGGGGAAGTATTTCTTTGGTGGACGCCATTTTGGGAGATGGAGAGTCTCAGGGTCGCCATTTTGTTTTGCGACTGAGAGGGCGTGGCCACCATTTTCAAACCGGTTTCTTATCCAACTTTCATTATTGAATTTCTGGCCTAAGTGAGAGGATTATTTGTCTTTACTGACACAATTCCTATTAAATATCCTTTGGCTCTTTGCTCCAAATTTCTAAAGGAGATCATTACCTTATTCCTCTGGGAATTGTAGAGATTGGCAGGGGGGGGATATATATATATATAGATATTATCTTACCCTGCATCTAATCACATTATACATCACAAACCTTATTGCTTCTCTTGTTCTGGAAGAGGAAATTTTTTACAGTCCACCTGTTCATATTAGCTCACGGCGCTGTGCCTGCAGGGCCTGGCAGGCAGTGCTAGAGTGCTGTCTGGCTGTTTTGTCATTGTGGTTCATCAGGGCGTGGGTCGTTTCCCTCTCTGATAACAGGTCTGCGTGTTATTTCCCCCTTTTCCTGGATATCTCCTTCCGGAATATCCAGTGCACAATGGCTGACAGTGCTACTCCTCAGTCATCACAGGGCTCTGAAGTTACCCCCGCACAAAAAAAATGCAGATCTTCTGAATTAACAGCGGGGGGAAAGAAAAAGGCCAAAACAAAAAACTTAGAGCCCTCCAAAACTGCTGAGCGAGAGGCCTCGAGGAGACATCAGGCGCTGGAAAAAGAATTCTCCAGAGTTCAAAGACTCAGGTCCAGCGAGGTTGAAGTGGTTTCCCCCACTTCTCTGGATCCTTCCCCCTTTGGGTCTCAATTTGCGCTTTCTCAGGAAGCCCACAGGGCTTGGTCTCCTCAAGGGGAAACTGAACAGGCTGGTCCCTCTCTTCCTTCCCCTCCCCCACCTCCTCCTCCATCTTTTTCTTCTATGGCACAACAGACTTCTGAAATTGGGCACACCTCCACTGCAGCTGGCCTTGGTTTCTCAGGCCAACAGGAGGCATGGTCAGAGCAGTTCCAGACGTTTATGCAACATGCCTTTGACCAGTTCATGGCTTCATCTCTGGGCCATAGACTTCAACAGGTAGCACCCTCTCCGCCCACTGTCCTGCCACAAATAGGACGTGTCCTGTTGGCTGGATCTGGTGAATCTGAGGCTTCCTCTCAGATAGGGGAGGAGGAATCCGTGGACCTGGAGACGGCAGACATTCCCCTATCAGAGGATGAAGATGCTGCTCCGGATCCGGCCCCGACTTCGGGCCTGTTTGATCCTTCCTTGTTCAAATCCTTGCTTATGAAGGCTTGTGCTACGGCCAAATTGGCGGAGGAGCAGGAACCTAAACCTTCTACCTCCTCTGCACAAGAGTCTAATCCCTTGTTCGCTGAACAGGTGGTGGAAGAGAGACAAATTCCTTGTCCTAATGTTTTCTGCACCACTGTGGAAAAACAGTGGTCATCACTGGGTACTCTGCCCTCTCCGAGTAACACGGAAAAGAAACTTTTTAATGTCTCCTCCCCCTTTGCTTCCCTTCTAGAGGTGCCTACTGTTGATGCCCCTCTCACGTCGTTGTTTTCTACTTCCACGATTCCAGGGGATATGGCTGAAGCCCTGAAGGCGGAGGAAAAGAGGTTTGAATTTTCTCTCCGCAGAGCTCACCAGGCATCAGCTTGGGCGATAAGGGCGGCTACCTCTTCGTCCTTTTTCGTGAGGATGTCTATTATGTGGCTTCGCAAATTGCAGGCCATGATTCCCCCTGACCAGGTGCGCGCACACGAGACAGTGGGTAAGCTACTTGCCGCCTCTGAATATGAGGCTGATACATCTCTCCATTCTGCCAGGTACTCCACCAGGTCTATTGCGGCCACTGTTTCGTCCCGCAGGTTGCTGTGGTTGAAGCAGTGGAGGGCGGATTTAAAATCCAAATGGCACTTGTCAACTGACAAGTATAGTGGTTCTAAGTTATTTGGTCCTATTCTGGACCCATACCTCATAGAAGGGAAAGATAAGCGCAAAATTCTTGCTCACCCTTCTAAGAGGCCGGACAGAAGGCCTCAGCAGGAATTCCGCAAACAAGTCTTTCATTCAGGTGGTTCATGGGAGTGGAGACAGCCCTTTCGGGTCGGTCAGTCCTGGGATTGGTCCAGAGGTTCTAGACCTTTTTTTCCCAAATAGGACAGACAGCAGGAACGCCAAAGTCAGGCACCCAGAGGTCAATTCCAATCAAAGCGTTCCTTTCGTGGATCAGGGGGCCGTCCTTACAGGTGGTCCAAGTGACGCCAATGGAGATCCTCCTATTGGCGGTCGCTTAGCGTTGTTCAGCGATGCTTGGGACGCCACCACAAACGACTCTTGGGTAAGGGAGACCGTCAGGTACGGTCTCGCCCTCTAATTTATCTCAATCCCTCCAGACCGTTTTATTCAATGCCCCACATCAAGAAACTCAAGCAGGGCTGAGTTGGTACCCACAGCCATCTCACATCTATTAGAGATCGAGGCCATAGAACCGGTGCCCCCGGATCAGAAGGGAAAGGGGTTCTAATCCATTCTGTTTGTAGTTCCCAAGGCCTCGGGGGGCTGGAGGGCCATATTGGATCTAAAGGGACTCAATTTTTATTTAACACACAGAAAATTCAAGATGCAGTCCCTCAGGTCTATTCTAGACAGCATCAGGAAAGGAGATTTCCTCTCCTCCATAGACCTGACGGAGGCGTACCTCCATGTCCCCATCCTCCCACAACACCGCAAATTCCTCCGGTTCTGTCACGCACACCGACATTACCAGTACCAGGCTCTGCCATTTGGACTGTCCTCAGCACCTTGGGTTTTCACAAAAATTTTGGCAGTTTTAGCTGCCCATCTCAGGTTGATTCCAGGGCGCGTACAGTGCTATCTGGATGATATCATCATCCAATCTAGCTCCTTCTGTTCTGCCCAATCAGATCTTCAACTCACTATCAATACTCTTCAAGATCACGGATTTTCCGTGAACTTCAAGAAGAGTCACACGACCCCCTCAACTCGTCTTCTCCATCTGGGAGCACTCATAGATTCGAATCTTTGCATGGTTTACCTCTCTCAGGAGCGCAAGAACAGCATAAGGGCACTTGCCCTCGAGATCCGGAGGGAGAAGAGGGTTCCACTGGTCCAGCTGTCCCAGTTGTTGGGGAAGATGGTCTCCTGTCTGGGGATTGTT